ACTGACATTTGTGGAATTTTACAGTAATGGAATTAGTAAGCTTGTTAATAGATGGAAGGAAGTCATAGATAATCAGGGAAATACATTGTTGATTGAATTTGTTATTAAATGTAACATTTGGTCACTTGTTTTCTTTATTCAAAATTCGGACAGAACTTATGGGATGACCTGATATATATATATATATATATATATATATATATATATATATATATATATATATATATTAATGGATGCAGGTATTTAAATAGAGACCATGTTTTTTAAACAGGGAATTACACCTACCGAATAGTGTATTACAGAGTGAACATCCTCTTTATTAAGACACTCAAAAGCAAAATTATATCTATCGGCTTGTGCTTTTGAACGTATTAATACGTGGCGTGTATTCAAGCACCAAAATACAAGGTTTATATTCATAAATGATGTAAGACTGAAAATAAAATCTAGTAATGCCTTAGAAATTACGATATATGGTGAACAAGGTGACTTTTTTCCACAACGCCAAATGCATCGAACTAACTACTCGGTCGTAATGGATCTAGCGAGACAAGCCTGTTAACCATTACCTACGCCGAAGTGCGCAAGGTATTTATGATATAAGTAAGTATTAACTCTGTGCGTCTGATTCCTTTAAATACACACACACACACATATATACATACAAATATAATATATATATATATATATATATATATATATATATATATATATATATATATTTAAATAGATTCGTCAAATCTAAAGTTTTATATGGTACACAAACCCGTTCAGAAATGCCTAAATTTTGACAACTGTACACAACCGCTTTCTCAAACCAATGACGAAAAATGGCTTCTAGTGAATGAGGCATGTCGATCATAGAAGTTCCCCTGCTTCTTTGAATCTAGTGGACTACGTTACAGAATCACAAAGAAAGAACTGTATGAAATAACAGAAACCAGATCACTTGAGGACTTTCAACAGCTGCAACGACCAAAATGGATTTTACATGTAACGCGAAGAGAATAAGATATCATCAAGCTGTTTACGTTCTACACTATTTCCAATGAAAGGTTAAGGAAGCCCACACCGCAATCAGCGAACTCAAACAAACCTATTTTCCCGCAACTCTTCAACTGGTTTCACAAAAGTTGATTTAAGTTTTCGGTCGATCCCGTTCTTACGTCCTAAAGATGAAATTAAGAATTTATTTTTACCTCTTCGGTCGAACGAATTATTTTACACAACCTTTCTCTACACTTTTAAAAGAAGTCATCTGTTTTTACATTAATTCACAGAATATTGAGATATGGGCATTCCAATTCTCTCTCTCTCTCATATATATATATATATATATATATATATATATATATATATAAAGAAATGGACAAAGTCCGACAATTTATTTATTAAAGATATTTTTATGTTTAACGTTCTTTTATAGATACAAATATTTAAGTAAATGCTCTGTTTATAATAAACAGTATTAAATAACATTTACCGGCCTGAATGTCCGAGAAATTTTCATACAAAAATATTCGTCCTTCGAACCTGCATCCTATATGGATGTATCTATAAAAAGAACGTTAAACATACAAATGTCTTTATATATATATATATATATATATATATATATATATATATATATATATGTGTGTGTGTGTGTGTGTGTATATATATATATATATATATATATATATATATATATATATATATATATATATATAAAGTGGACATTGAAATTAAGACTCAGCTGAAAGAGGCAGTGTCAACAAAGGTACAACGCATATGGCGTGACAATTGCGTTTAAGCATAAAACATAGTATCGCCTCTGGGTTTTGACGTCAATATTCGCATTTATATTTACATACACTCTATCCCTGATATTGAGCACTATATATATATATATATATATATATATATATATATATATATATATATAAAAGCTTAGGATCAAATAACATGTATCTATATGGTGATTTTCTTTTGTCTTTCAATGATAATGTTATTAAACTTATCAAACGATATGAAAGGAATTGGCTTAAAATAAATATACAAAACATGTCTATATTATTTAATGAAACATGCATTAATATATATATATATATATATATATATATATATATATATATATATATATATATATTATTAAGTACGTATTTCACTGTATTGAATTATATCAAATTTTGTACACAAATTAAAAGTTCAGTTAGTTTTAAGACCTTTTAACAGATTACGATCAAACGGGAAAATGAAATCCCCAAAGACAAAAAAGCTTCCAACGCTAAAATACAGAAAAAAATAAATTTAAACCCCATACTGAACAATTAAAACTACCTGGGCATTTAAGCGCCAAATGCCAATAACCTAAAAGATAAAAACAAAACAATACTGATGGACATTGGTCTGACAATTAAAGTTTACTATTAAAGAGATATTTTGTGGACATTTATGACCACCGAGGGTGTTGCTTGGTCACTGACCGCAGACGAGCCTGACATTTAAAAATCGAATATCTCTGTTCTAATCTTGCATGTTTAATCATGTAATCACTTTCAGATATTCCCAAGGAATGTCTTTGATGAGAGACAAGTTCATTCTACCTCGCATTATTTTGCTTTTATGTAATGAACACTTCATTGTAGTTGTTTCGAGAACGAAATTTCTGCGTCCAATTTTATATGAAAAAATTCCATTATCTTAATTGTAAATTTTTCTATTCGTGTCACGGCACCATTTGTTTTGTCTAGTGGATAAAAAAAAAAGGTGTTTTTCGTACCAGAATCAAAAGCGTGTTACGTTTTAACTAAGATATTCGTCTTCAATGGCTCAAAACTCCGATGCTGTTGTGATATTCTTTTGAGCATCGTTCGAAGTCATAAATCGGCATCTTTCCAAGAGTTATTGGGAACGACAAATTGGAGGAAAGTGTGACAAGCAAAAACAAAATTCGCTAAGGAATAGCAGAAGATAACTTTTAGAAGTTAAGAAAAAATATTAAGAAACTAGAACATTTCATTGAAAACAAATATAACAGTGATATGTAATACCAATCCTCTTAATATCTATCTATATTTCTGAGATGAGGTATTATGTACATTATTTACATTATTCGGACTATCTTTGTCGCCATATTTATTACAACGTTTCGGCCGTTGTACGCTCCGGCCTTCTTCAGGTGGTTGGAATATCGAACTAAACCCTTTATTTCGCTCACTGGGGTGGACTGTTCTAGTTCCACGTGCCATGTTTAATGGATGTCAGTTATCAGTTATCTCCTGTTAATTTTCCCTCTGAAAGTTCTCCACTGCCTTAATCCGGTATTGAACTCACACTCTTTGGATTCTGTCACAGGATTTAACCAGCGCCTTTATCCACTGTGCCATGCGTCCTTGAGGCAGTGGTTGGCTTACGGCAATATCACGTTCAAACGGCTGTTCTCATATTATCACAGAAGTTAAGAAATGTCGAGCCTGGTCATTATTTAGATGGGTGACCGCTTAGGAATTCCGGGTGTTTTAAACTTGGGTGTGCAGTGTAATGGATAACGGCTCGGAATTGGATCTCGGCGAGCTGAGTTCAATTCCAGCCGGGTACGTTATATTCACTTACGCGCAAATATCACTGGGAAAGGCATGAAACCACTGCTTCTCTGCTCTCCTCACTCAGTTATGGGTTAATAAGTAGAAAAATCTTTTTCTCCCAAAAATAATGAAAATCTAAAAATATTTTCTGGCTTTGAACAACCTGCAAAAGGTTGATAATCCTTTGTTGTGGATTCCGGGATGAAATCCGGTCTCCAATGAATGACAAACGCAGGTATGAAATATAACAAATAAATGTATTTACACAATAATACAATTGCTAATACTGTTAGTAGATCCAGAAACGTGGTTAGTAGACAATAATATATATATATACACAGTCTGGTAAATCCAGTCTCGAAGTAGGACTTCCTTAGAGTCTACGTGCTTGTAACTGTGACTTCTACAAGCGGTTACCTCACACTATTATTCTACCTCCAACTCAATCACAATCTCAATCTCCCTCTACTCTGACTGACTCTGGGTATTTAACGGCAGCAGTCCAAGTACACACTGGTCGAGTCCACTTGTATGAAAAAGGGGTGGAACCCATAACATCCTTAAAATAACTAAACTATATCTTTGTCTGTTTTTTTTTTTTTACCAGGCGTCTTACCTTCTGCAAACTCTTTCTTTCAGTTTTTCTCTTATTTCTTTTTTCCTTCTCCGACATGTGTTTGCCTATTATTCTACTCGTATAAACATATAGGGTGATTGGGTTGGTGATGATCAAGTGACAATTAGTAACGACTAGTGATGCTGAAAATGGACTCGACAAAATGAGTTTAACTCCTGGCTTATTATGTTGCTTTCAGTTTTTGTTTTTAAGCGTTTCACCCCAAGCAAGGCGGGAAGCCACTAAGACGCAAGGGGTTACAGAAGATTTGGAGCAAGATCAGATAGGAGTGATAGAGGAAAGAATGAGGAGAAGGATAGTGGATAGATCAAGACAACTGGAGGTGTCGATTGACATTACATTTGAAAAGTTGGAGATTATAGCTCTCAGAGAAACAGTAATTGGGAAGGGTGTTCCACAGGCGAGAGGTGAGAGATTTAAGTAGAAGAGACGGCTACATTTAATAGTTTCGACAGTGAACGGGTGAGAGCGGGATGCCAGCCTCGTAGGGCGCTTGAATTTATGAAGTCTGGGAACCAGCGAATGCAGCTCCTCGGAGCAATTACCAAGTATTTGTAAAAAAGACAGAGAGAGGCGACAGCGCATCTGTGAGAGAGCGACTGTAGACGAGATGCCAGAACAGGGCCAATTATATTGCATATCCGCCTCTGGATCTTATCAAGAACCCCGAGGCAAACAGAAGGGGCTCCAGACCATATATGACAGCAATACTCCATGCAAGGGCGAATTGTTGATTTGTAGATTTGAAGGATCGATTCCGGGGAGAAAAATTTCCTGTCGCGGCACAGGGAGCCAATTCACACAGAATGTTTGCCCTTGACTAGAAACGAAACAAGTGAAAAGATACGACACGGAAAAGTAAACTGATGGATACGGGGAGAGGCTGAGTGATTCACGGGGAGGCGATAGCAAGAAAACCACGGAGAAAAGTAATAGAAAGTAGTAAGGCTAATTTTCCCACTAAGTGAACGGCGTAGTAGGACATAAAAGCAGTCAAACAGCTGCTCACTTACCGCTTCGTATTGTTGTCAATTCACTTTTTCTCGCACCCTCTGACTTTATTTTTTATTTTATTTTTTATTTTATTTTTTTTTCATTTGTTGGAGATGACATTAAACAACACTCTTTCTGTCGGCTACAATATATCAGAATAAAAATGAAATTCTGCCAGTGGTAAAAAAACACAAAGCAAGAATAAATGAGAGAGAACAAAAGAAAAAACAGTATGTTATGCATATATATATATATATATATATATATATATATATATATATATATATATATATATATATATATGGGTTAATGTAAGAAGGAAAAAATCGATCCATATGGATTTGCTGAATGCTTCATCGAGAGAAATAGGCAAGGTACAATAAAGACGGACTGGGGAAAACGTTATAGGTGACCGGAAATGACGTCGCCTTATATCCGGTCGTGTATTTTTTTTCTTTTTAAACATTCTTTAGAAACAGAGCCGATCCTTCGTATTTTATGCGGATCGTAGACGTTCATATTTTCTGTAATTTAGCTATTTAATGGATAATTTACTTGTTTATATTTTACACTGGGTGCAAAAGTATTGGGCTATGATTTATACACCTCCATTTTATTAAGTTATAATTGTTTAGCAGTATGCTTTTATTAATAAGGTCTGTGGACCTTGGCGATTTGAAAGTAAGTTGTTGCGCTTTCCTAGGTGCCGTGTAACATAAGATACACCGCTTTAAGCAGGTTTATAGCGGACCGTGGGGTTTTTTACGCGTTGTGATCTGAACGCGTGTGGAACTCCTAAAATAAAGTCCACTACATATATGGCAGACTCGGAGAATGAGCCTACCAAAAAGAAAATATAACAGAAAAACAAGAAGAAACTGATATATATATATATATATGTACAAACATGTATATGTATTAAACAACAAATAGGGTTTACAAAAGACAAAAACATTAACGTGTTTGTGTGCATGAACGTAAAGAGTTCGTCTTTCATAGTATGTTCGTATGTGCGTGTGCGTGTGCGCGCGCGCATAATGTTCATGGTCTTTCCAAGGAAAACGTATAGCGCCACGACCCCCCCCAAAAAAAGGGGGAAAACGCAATCTGCTGCGAGAGCCTTACATAGTCGTAGTGACCGCTGAAAAGTTGAAGAAAGAGAGAGAGAGAGTGTGTGAGTGAGAGAGAGAGAGAGAGAGAGAGAGAGAAAGGGTTTTCTCAAGTATTTATACTTTAGAGATAGCGACCCCTAGAAAAAAAGGGGGAAAATGCAATCTGCTGCGAGAGCCTTACATAGTCGTAGTGATCGCTGAAAAGTTGAAGAAAGAGAGAGAGAGAGAGAGTGAGAGAGAGAAAGAGAGAGAGAGAGTGAGAGAGAGAAAGAGAGAGAGAGAGAAAGGGTTTTCTCAAGTATTTATACTTTAGAGATAGCGACCCCTAGGAAAAAAGGGGAAAAACGCAATCTGCTGCGAGAGCCTTATATAGTCGTAGTGACCGCTGAAAAGTTGAAGAAAGAGAGAGAGAGAAAGTGAGTGAGAGAGAGAAAGAGAGAGAGAGAGAGAGAAAGGGTTTTCTCAAGTATTTATACTTTAGAGATAGCGACCCCTAGGAACAATTTAGAGAATTAGGAAATTAAACAATTAGGAAATAAAGAAGGAGTTAAATCCTACAGTTTGAAGCTAAAAAGGACATACCAAAATATTTAACAAATGAAAAATCTATGATAAATTCATATTGGGAAGCATATAATCCACAACCTATACTAGCAACAAGTTGCCTGAATCCGGTAAGAAAATGAATTCAGTAAATAAACAAAAATAGAAAGTCGTATAAAACAAGAATGCGTCTTCTCACCGGACTTATTTAACCTATACTGTGAGTTCATTCTGAGCATTAGAAGCCTTACCAGGATTCATTATTGCTAGCCACAATCTTAACAACATAAGATATGCAGATGACGCAGTGTTGATAGCAAACGGAAAGGAAACTACAAGACGTCCTACAGAAGATACTAAAGGAAAGCGAGAAGAAAGGACTAAGCATAAGTTGCAAGAAGACATGGTTGTTAGTAAAAAGAACATACCAACACACAAATTACTATTAAAATGTATACACAAAAATCAAACGAGTACAACAATTTAAATATCTGGAAAGTGTTTTAACAGAAGAAAAGTGCGACACTGAAATCCGATGGCGCAATTGGATAGCGAAAGATGTCTTCCAGAATCTAAGCAAAATATTAAGAAAGAGAAAAATGTTGTTAGAAACAAAGAAAAGAGTACTTAACTGCTAGTCCTCGTTTGTGACAATGAATGCTGGACAATCTCAGCACAGATGAAGGAAAGACTTGAAACAACAGAAATGTGATTCTACAGAAATATGCTTAAAATACAATGGACTGAACATGAACTGAGCAACGACGATTTTTGATAAATTGGAAACAACAAGGACATTTATACCTAACACCAGGAAGAGAGAGTTGAAATTTCTAGAGCAGATAATGAGGAAAGTGAGTTTGGTAAATGTGATAATCACAGGACAGATTGAAGGCAAGAAGGATATGGGAAAACAACCTATCTAGCGAGTATGAATAAATCGATGGCAGAACAGTGTTTTGGAGAGCTAACAAAAAGATAAGATTTCTCAAGATCTACAAAAGACAGTAAAATTGAGGAGAGCTATGATCGCCAACATCTGGAAGAGTCATGGCACATAGAAGATTGGGTCGGTAAGTCAGATGGACGAGTTCCAGATGAAACAGTTGTGTTCGCTTTTGCACAGAGCGCCTTAGAAAAGTGTGAATCGTTCTCTTCCCCCCACTAGCAATGAGTTAAATAAGAGAGTAGCTTTGGTCGACAGTGTAGACGAAGGACAACACTGAATTCAAGCGGGACTAGCATCTCCACCCCGTATCGACTTAACCAGTAACCACAGCCGCAACACTTAGCATAGTGAAGTAGTTTAAAAGGTTACTCCTTTCAGCCTTCCACAAGCATGGCCGATGCTAACCTCCAAGAAAGTGACTGATTGCGCATACTCTGCTGACATGAAGTGAAAAGGCTATATTGAATCCATTCCCAGGTCAACTGCTAGAAAAGTTGGTTCCCTGTGTCATGCTAGAAAATTTTTTCTCTCCAGAATCTTGCATATCTATAAGTCTACCATTTGTCCCTCCTTAGAATATTACTACCACACATGGTCCGGTCCTCCTGCTATTTATTTAGTATCGATAAAATCCAAAAGATCTGGCATCTCGGTTTCAATCACTTTCCCACCGCCGTAATGTTGCTTCACTGCGCTTTATCTATAAATACTTTCATGGTAATTGTTTCGATGAACTATGGTACCTAGGTTTGAATGTGAGCGCAGTACTAGATTGGCAACAAGGTCTCATTAATTTATAGTTGAATTTTCCTAGATGTAACCGTAAATTCTATGCTAACAGTTTCTTTTCTCACTTTTGAAACTTTATTCGGCTTCATGTTTTCAAGTTAACTTTAACATTCAAAAATTTCAATGCAATGTCAATCGTCGTTATCTACTGTCTTCCTGATTACTATTCTATTCCTCTTAGTAACATCTCTGCTTTCTAATTCTTTTACACACAGTAACCCGCGACTTGGGATAAATCTAATTAAAAAACAAAAATGTCCGGCCCGAAATAATTTGTTTGCTTTTCATTTAAAAAAAAGTACAATTATATTTTATTCAGTTCGCCATTATTTGCAATAACCACACAGCTCATCGTTTTAAGTAAAATTCCGCAGGTTTTCATATGAGACGTTTTTCAACCAACTCTGGGCTTCATTAAGGCAAGTTTTTTACACCCAAGCAATCGTAAAAAAAAAAGAAATACTCGGTTGGTACAAAGTCTGATGAATATAGAGAAATGAGTAAAAACTGACCAACCAAAATTTTCAGATGTGATACTCTGTCCTAGGTAAGACGATAAACTACATCCATCAACCTTGCTATTGGATGTAGTTTGTCGGTTTTGAGGAGCGTGGAACCGCCTGTTAATTGCTGGTGTTCCCAGGTCACCCTGACCGGGGTGGTAGCACCTGTTAGGGTCCCAACAATGGGCAAATAGTTAAGCCCCAAACTGAGGTCAAAATAATAGGAAAGTGTAAAAATAGGTTTTAATACCAGAAATACTTTGTAAAAAAATATTACCAGCCATAAATTTTTGAGGGAAAAATTATTAGCAGCAATACATTTATGAAAAAAAAAAATCAGCTCTACATTTTTTTTTTTAGAAAAAAAATATTACCAGCAATACATTTTGAGGAAAAATATTACCAGAAATAGATTTTTTGAAGGAAAAAATTATTACCAGAAATGGATTTTTGATGGTCGAAAAAAAAATATTATCAGAAATAGATTTTTTGAAGGAAAAAATTATTACCAGAAATGGATTTTTGATGGTCGAAAAAAAAATATTATCAGAAAAATTTTTGAAGGATTTTTGATGGTCGAAAAAAAAAAAAAATATTTTTTTGAAGGAAAAATTATCAGAAATAGATAGATTTTTTGAAGGAAAAATTATTACCAGAAAATTTTTGATGGTTGAAGGAAAAAATTATTACCAGAAATGGATTTTTTGAAAAAATGGTCAGAAAATAGATTTTTTTTGAAGGAAAAATTAAAAAAAAAAAGGAAAAATTATTACCAGAAATGGATTTTTTGATGGTCGAAAAAATATTATCATTTTTGAAGGAAAAAATTATTACCAGAAATGGATTTTTGATGGTCGAAAAAAAAATTATTACCAGAAATGGATGGTTTTTGAAGGAAAAATTATTAC